GTCCCCATGCTCCTCCTGGGTGTCCCCATGCTCCTCCTGTAGGTCCCTGTGTTCCTCCCCCAGGTCCTCCTTCTCCTCCTGCAGGTCCCCATGTCCCTCCTGGGGGTCTCTATGTTCTTCCCACATGTCCACAGATTCCTCCCACATGCCTTCAGCCTCCTCCAAGCCCATGCTCTCCTGCCTTATCTCTTTGGCTCCCAAAGCCTCCCCTGCCTGGGGGTCTTCTCCCCCTAATGCCTCCCTTCCTTTATCTTCCTCCTCTCCCTCATCATCCTGTGCTCTGCCTGTGCTCTCCCTTCCTGTAGTGTCTTCTTCAGACCCTGATGAGCCCTCTGCTGCTGGCACGGCCCCTTCAATGCTAGAGGCCCTCATCTCCAGGCACACCTCCTGCTCCCTTTCGTCCCCTGCAGCAGCACCCAGCTCACACAGGGACACCTCCTGGTGCTCAGACTTCAGCTCTGTTTCAACAAAGTCCTCTTGCAAGTGGATTCCCGCAGGCAAAACTGGGTGGCTCCCCACAGGGACAGCACAAGCAGCTTCGATTTCCGTCTGCAGGGACCCTTCTTCTCGCATTTCCCTCTCCTGATCTGGGAACTCACATTCCTCATCCTCTCTGGAAGGGCTCCAGGGTTCCCTTTGCTCCTTGTACTCCGAGACATGCAGAGCCTCCATGCTGGTGGCCTCCATGTCCTCCTTGCCCACTTCCAGCCTGGACCCCTTTGTGTCTCCTCCCCAGGGCTCTCCCCCTGGCTCCTGGCTCTCCGTGGAGCTCAGTGCGTTCAACATCTCCTCCTCTTTACTCCTCTCCTCCTCCCACTTCTCCTCCTGGCTCTCCGCATCACTCTGGGTGGCACTTAGCAATGTGGGCACGTTGCTGCAGAGACACAGCCCAGGTGGGGACATGGTACCACCCTCAACACCCATCTCCTGGGTTCCTGCAGCCTCCTCCTCCGTGGGGTCTTCAAGATCCCCATCCCTGGTACTCTGGGTAGCACTGAATTTGGGCACTTCTTTGGCCTCAGTGTCATCTTGCATCTCCTTGAGAGCATCCTGCAGTGCGTGGCTGACCAGCTGTTCAGGACTCAGTGGGCTCTGCATGGGGGACTCCTCACCAGCCCCACACTCATGGGCTGGGCTCTCTGCCCCCCCACTGCCTGGCACGGGGGACAGCACTGGGACAGCGTGGCTGGGGGCAGCAGGCTCCCAGCTCCTCGGTGCCTGCAGGACTGAGTTGATTTTCTGGAACTCCTGTGCACTGGAGCTCTTGTTTTTGGGAGTCAGCGCCTTGAGGGCATCACCGGGGGTTCTGCACAGCTGTGCCACCCCCTCGGGCCGGGGGAAGGCAGCAAGGCTGGCACGGTGCTTGCTGCTGCTCACCTCCAGCTTGACATCTGCAGAGAGCAGGGAGAGCACAGTGTGGGGGGGCACAGCCCAAAACCCAAGGGCTGGGGCAGAGATCACCCAACTGCAGCCTAACAGCTCCTCTCTCCCCTCTTGCTGACCCCTCTCCTATTTTTAAACACTTCTTGGGAAGTGAGAAATTCCTCCCCTGAGTGTTGCAGAGCACTGATGCTGCCAGGGGTACCTCATGGGACGACGGATGCTCTGCTCTGCCTGCAGCAGTGGGGTCAGAGATGTGGTGGGCTTGCAGGGATGTGTGCAGGTGACAGCTTTTCAATATATTTAAGGAAAAAAGGAAATGCTCAGCCTGCTGCCCAGCCTGAGGTCCCATGCTCAGGCTCCTCATGCAGGGGAAGAATTAAAAAAAGAAGTGAAGGAGCAGATAAGCCCTTATCTGCTCTATACAGAGGTGCCAGCAAGACCAGAGCCTGCTGTTAGCACCTTCCTATCGCATTGACCAACCCTTGCCAGGAAAATCATTCTGCTCCCTGGCCCTTCCTTACCTCGCAGGCTGTTGGCCAGCTTGAACTCCCCGGGAGGCATCTGCAGCCGGGTGCTCTCTGCTTCCAGCAGTGTCCTGTAAGGAGAGGTGTTGGAGGGGGGGGGGGGGGAGGAGGGGGGGTGATATCTTTGCTGAGCTGCCAAATCAAGTCAGTCCCTGTGCAACTCAGGGGGATGCTTCAAAGGTAAACTGAAGCATAACATGTCTGTGGGTGGTTTTTCTGGGGCCGAACTGTTGTGTCACCTGGTTGTGAGGTAGGGGGGTAGGGGATCCCAGGGGGCAGCCCCTCACTGCCTGCCAAGGATCTCTTCCCTCCTTGCTCTGTGGGCCCCCTCCCATCCCCCCATCCCCAGCTTGGTGTCCTCACTACCGGGTGACATCATGCTCTGCCGGGGAGGCCCCTCCGCTGGGGACAGCCCCTATTCTCATGCTAATCGTACCCCCAGTCCTCTGCGAGCCTGCCTTTGTCTGGGGCCATCTGGAAGGGCTGCAAGCGGACTGAGGGCTGCAGGGTTCAACCCCAGAGTCTCCCAGCAGTTCTTACAGCTCTGTCCAGCCAGGTTGGGTAATGCTGCAAGGGGAGATTTGGGGCATCACCCTGCTCTGAGCACACGGGAGCACAGTGGGAGCACTCTGTGTCCCCAGAGGGAGCAGTGCCACCGTGAAGGAGACCTCACCTGTAGGTTGCCACCTCCAGGCTGAGGGACATCTTGAGGTGCATGAGCTGCTGCCTGTCCTCCAGCACCTGGGCGATCTGCACTTGCAGGCTCTGCTTCTCCTGCTCCAGGGCCTCGATGGCCAGCTGTGGTGAGAAGCACAGGGTCAGGAACCTGATTGATCTCCCCAGAAAGGGAGGGAGCTCTGGTGGCACATTTCTGCCCGGATTGTGCCTTTCCCACCACCCCCATCATTTCTTTTCTTCCTGGTCCTGACCCTCTTTGTCCCATGGGAAATTAAGCACTCCGTCCTCTTCCGGAGGATGTGGGTCAGCAGCTGTGACTCCACTCCGGCACCGCCTGCTGCATGACAAGAAGTGGGGATGGGGACCCTGGATCCATCCAACCCCAGCACTGCTTGGGGCGGCTCTCGCTGTCACCCATAGGTGCCCTCGGTACTCCTTGGGGATGTCAGAGATGGGTGTCCTGGGGGTGCCCAGGTGCTCAGGGTGCTGCAGGGAGGTGAGACACTTGCTTTTCACATGGGGAAGTTGGAGAGGGTTCAAGGGAGCAAGGAGAGGAATGGAGTAAAAAAGCAAGAAGGATGTAGCCGCTGGAGGAGGGATGGGAAGGCGGGGGGGATCGGGACCATGCGATGTCAGATTGGGAAGTAGGATTCCTTTGAGAGGATGGCTGTGGTATCCCCTTCTCCATCCTCAAACCGGGAACAAAGAGGGACCCTTCCCTGCGTGGGGTCTCTAGCTCCAGCTATGAGCTGGGGCTGCATTTCCAGCCTGCTCCCACCACAACTTCCCCTGCAGAATTACTTTCACAGCTGTCTGCCTGCAGCTGTGGCTAAGTCGGATGAAGTTTATCCATCCCGAAGGCAGTGGCAGCAGAAATGGGAAGGAATGACTGCTGCCCTGGGGCTTGCAGCCCACCCTGGGGCTGCTCTTAACCCTCCCAGCTTTCGAGCCCCCCAAGCTCCCCACTCTCCCCACCTGGAACTTCTCAGCCTCTCCGTGCTGCTCCTGCCACTGCTGGCCCAGGCTCTCCTCCAGCATCTCCTTCCGCACCTTCAGCCCCACCAGCTCCTTTTCCAGGTGCCGCAGCTGCATTTGGCTCTGTTGGTTGTCTTCTGCCACCTGCCAGAGGTTCTCCTTGGCTTGGCCAAGTGCACGCTCCAGCTGCGCCACCTCCGCCTTGTAGGTCTCCACCGCCCCTCTCCAGATCTCTGACAGTCTTTTGGAGTAGTCCTCCACCTCCACGGGCTGGAATGCCACCGGAGCACAACGGAAGCCCTCCAGGCTCTGAGAGAAGCTGGCGAGCTCCTGGTCCAGCCCCGCTTTCTCCTCCTCGTGCACCTCCAGCAGAGCTTCCACCTCCTTCTCCAGCTGCACAGCTCTCTCCTTCAGCCAGATCTGCGCCCGTCTCTCCTCCTCCAGCTCTTTCTTGCTGGAGGACAGCTGCCTCTTGGCTTCCTCGCGGGCTGCCTGCTCCTTCTGGCACCTGCTCCTCACATGCTGCACCTCCTCGTACAGGTTGTCCCTGGCCAGCTCGGCCGCACACTTCTCGGTGAAGGCGCGGTGCAGCGCATCCCGCAGCGACCGCAGCTCTTCCTCGTACCTGGCTCTGCGTGGGTCCCCGGCCGGGCTCTCCTTGGTGCTCTGGATCTCAGCTCGCAGCCCCTCATTCTCCTCCTCCAGGTACTTAACGCGGGCCAGGTAGGCCTCCAGGCGCTTGTTGAGGTCCCACATCTGCAGCGATTCCTCACCCAGAGCTCTCGCCCCCACGAAGCCCTCCATGCTCAGCATCTCGGCGGCAGAAGGAAGGCAGCAGAGCGGTGCCGGCTCGGGCGAACGCAGCTATTCATACTCACGCCGGGTGAGTGGGAGGCCTCTGAGACCCGAGCAGAGGAGCAGTTAACCCTTCCACAGCCGGCACAGCTGCTGCCAGCGCCGTCCCTGTGCCCCATCCCCCTCTGTCCCCTTGGGATGTTGGGCAGTGCTTGAGTGGGGATGGCAACGCGCCACGCTGGGGAGGAGCTGCGCTTTGGGGGGATGCTGTGGGGACGGTCGATTCATTCAGGGCAGGGATGGGTTTTGCTGTGCCTCAGTTTCCCCTTTATGTACAGCTGGGATTCCTGAAGAGCACACTGCACCCTGCACCTCGGGGATTGGTGCCATCTGTAGCTCAGCTAATTCCCAAAATCAAACAGAGCACCAAGTGAGCTTGGCGCGGAGAGAGGCTCACACGAATTTTACCTGGGGTTTTCCAAGGGCAAACCCCCACCCCCAGTGCCTGACTGTGGGGCTCTTTATACTGCTCCAAACGGTGCCACCGAGGGCTTTGGTGTCCCGGGGAGGAGACGCCCTGTGGGGATGCTCTGTGCACTCTCAGTGCATCTCAGTGTCTGGAGCAGATCTGAGCTCAGCCAGAGGCACTGCTCTGGCATAAATCCTGCCCCAGCTCCACAGCCCTCTATCCAGCCAGCCCAGCGGGCATCCTTTATTTTTGATTTTTAATTTTTCTTTTCCAGTTGATTTATTCTAGGGGTGGGGAGGAGGGTTTAGAAATTCCAACTTGGAGCTGTCTGAGAACAAAAGAGGCCGGAAAAGAAATAATCGGGGAGAGGCTTTGTGCCAGCTCTTTCTCTCCCGGATACACCCCCACCCCCCACTCCCTCCACTCCTAGAGGGGCGGTGGGGAGGGTCCCTGGGCTGTCCCCTGCATTGCAAAGAATCAGCGTCCCCTCCCAGCTGTCCCACGTCGTCTCCACTGAGCTCCCGCCCCGCTGCAAGAAAGAGGCGAGCAATAGTCCCCTCTGCTGGCCAAAGCCATCCAGATCCAACGCGAGCCCTGCAGTGCATGGGGCTACTCGGGCACTGCGTCCACGAGCCACCGTCCTTCCGCCATTTGGGGTGTATGGAGGGCGGGGGGAGGTGGAGGGTGAAGGCAGAATCCCATCCAGGAGCCCCGTTGGGTTCCCCCAGCCCAGAAGGCAGGAGGGAGCACAGGGAAGACGTTGTTGCTAATTAGAGGCTGATAATCGGGGCGATGCGTTTCCGTTGCTCATCCTCTTCTGTTCATGCTGGGCACGTTGTCTTTTCGCTTTTCCCTCAGCTCCAAATTCTCTCCTCCTCTGAAGGCACCCCAGTGCTGATGCTGATCCCAGATCTTTGCTTTGCCTTTCCTCATTGTGCCCCACCTTCCCCTGGGACTCCATGGGGTGCCCTAAACATGGGGCTCCCCAAGGAGTGGACAGCCCTCCTGCCCTGCCTGGGGTCTGCATGGAGGACTGCCCAGGGGAAGGTGCTGCTGCACCCCTTCCCCTTTGGGGTGTTTAGGATCAGGAGTCACTTGGGACTGGGGCATGCGTGTGTCCTTGCAGGGTACTTGGCTGGGAGCCTCAGAATGAGGACGTCTGTGTGTCTGTGGGGGGTGTTTGGAGTCAGGACCTGCTTGGGATGGGGGCAATGTCACTGGAGGGTGCTTGGGGTTGGGACCCCCAGGATGGGGATGTGGTTCCCTCTGCAGGATGCTTTGGGGTGGCTGTTTGATGGCAGGAGGTCTGGGGGTGACACAGACTCGCAGCCCCCACTGGGATTGGCACAGGGTGCTGCTACGTGGCTTCGAGCAGGGCCCCAGGGGGAGGAGGAGGAGGAGGAAGAAGCACAGCTGGGCATGGGGACGCAGCTGGGGACTGCCTGTGGCCAAGGGAGATGTGCTTGTTGGACGAGGTTCCCATGGGGCCACTGCTGTTGGGACAATGAGATGGGCTGGCAAGGCCATGACATCACCTGGGGTGAGGAGTGGGGGGGCTGAGCAGCAGGTGGGGATTCTCTGATGGCTGACAAGGGTTGTGCCCTGCCGCCACTTTGCCCTGACCCCTCTCCCTTCCAGATGCCAGCTGTCCCTGGATCTGTCTTTTCCATTCCCCCCCCATCAGGACACAGAGGGCAGGAGGGACAGGCAGAGCAGTGGCCTCTTGGGCAGCGTGAAGGAGCTGCTCTGCTGAGCCAGCGAGGAACATTTGTTCCCAATTAGGATGAGATCTGTCCTTGCTGAGCAGGCGCTTTGCCTCTTCCTCATCCCCGAGTGCTTTGCCACAAAGAACCGGGTGCAGGATGTGAGCTCATGGGAGGGAGCAGCCACAGGTCTGGGACTGGTGGTGGTGGTGGTGGGGAGGGGGGGGAGACACGTTTCCCCCTGCCCATCCCAGCGTCCATCCCTATGTCTGTCCTCATGTCCATCCTGGTGTGCGTCCCAGCCATGTGCCATGCTGTGGCATGCATCGCCTGCTGGACTGCTCTGCTAATGAGACCTTCTCCACCGTGTGTAATTATTTCCCAGGGTGACAAATGATTAATTCTGCTCAGGAGCTGCGGCTTTCTGCAAACTCACCCGAGCAATTATCCGGCAAGAGCCATGCTGGCTTCCCCAGGGTGGAGGATGCTGTAAGCCAGAGAAAGTTTGAGCTCAACCTGCTTAAAAAAGCTGCAATATCGGCTCTCAGGGCTCAGCTCCACCAAGGGGGGCAAACCCTGTCCCTGGTGCGCCCAGGACTCAGCCCTTCATCTGCTGGATTCCTCTCAGAGAGGAGGATCGGGGTCTTGGTGCGAGCCACCAGACCCAGAGATGCATTCATTATCCCATACAGACGTATCCCATCCCACCCCACCCCATCCCATCCCACCCCACCCCATCCCATCCCTGGCTGCAGATGGGGAAACTGAGGCACGGCGTCTGCCAGGATGTCAGCTCTCAGCTTCTCTTCTCCCTTAGGGGTGAGTGAAAACCCCGGTCCCACTCCAGTGCCTCCAACACATGGGGACGGCAGCGGAGCTGACAGAGGGGGTTTTGCATGACAAAGCCACAGCTCCACCAGCTGCAGGACCCCTTCTCACAGAACACCCCCCCCCCCTCACCGGCTCCACATCCTGCCGGAGGTGCCCAGTGTCGGAAATAAGCACTCAAAGTGCACCCCGATGCCAGAGGGGACTGAATATAGGTTGTCCCTTCCCAGCTGCTCGGCTCTGCTGCATTGGGTTAACAGCGTGCCCAGCTGGAGCAGCCGCGGCGTGGGTCTCGTGCTGCCTTTGCCAGGAGGGAGGGACGGGGAGGGACAACGCGCTCAGCCAACACGGTAATAATTTTTTTTTCTTTCTTTCTTACTTAGGGGAAGGAATAAAATATAAAAGGAGGAGGGAAAGAGGAAGGATTAAAAGAAAAAAAAAAAAAGGGAGAGAGAGAGACGCGGACACGGACACACACAGAGGACTCCTCTTCTTTCGGTGTCTGCACTTATGCCCGGTGCAGCTCACTTCCAGCCCTGCTGCCAACCTGCTGCCTACTTCTACCCCGGAGAAACCTCAGCTCAACCCCAAACCGGGCCCCCGGGGACCCCCGCCCGCACCGTGAGCAAGGTGGGACACGGGGAGAGCCCCTCCTGCGGGCTGTACTGCGCTATTATTGCAATATCTCATGTCACCTCTGTGCCAGCAGAAAGTAAGCAGGGAGGTGATGGGGCTGGGGGGTGGGCACAGCTCTCCCTGCTTGCTGGGGGTGACCTGGATGTCCAGCAGGGATGCTCCCACCGGTCCCCGTTTTGTCCTTGGCAGAGCTCTGCAAGTTTCTTTCAGGTGGCGCCGGCTCTGCAGAGCAGGAATGGGGGGGGGGGGGGGCGTGCTTGAGGATTGAGGTGGGAAAGTGACTTTGGGATTGATGTTAGTGGGGATTGGGGCTTGCAGGTCTCAGCATGGAGCCCATTCCTTGCTCAGCCACCAGGGACAGGTCCTCGTTCTAAGGAGGATGCAATCAGGGCAGCACCGGGATGGGAAAAAGAGGCACAGAGCTGGCAGGGGGGGTGGGGGAGTGGGAAGCATTGGGGCTGAAGTTGCCCCACACCACGGGGGCTGAGGGAGAGCAGGGCTGCACAGCATCACAGGATTTTCCCATTGGCTCCCAGCTCTTTCCCCCCACTCCTGCTGGTGTCCCAAGGGGGGCTGGGCAAAAAAAAAGAAAGGGAATGTTTTGTGGGGTTTTCATTGCTTTTCCCTACTGAACAAACCCAGAATGTTTGTGTGTGTGCCCAGGGCTTGGGGCACTTTGATGTGCATCCCCTGCCCTCTTGCAGAAACAGTGTTTTTTCTCTGGGATGGAGGTGCTCCCCTTGAGCATCCCACTGAGCCCTCAGTGCTCCCCAGCTGGGAAGAGCCCAGGCAGACCCAGAAACTGTTGCTGCTTCTTCAGCTGGTGAGGGGTGGGAAAGACCCTTTCTGCCCTTTGCTCCAGTACCTCTCTGCATGAGGGGCTCAGTCCAGGGGTTGCTGCCCCCTTTGGGCAGGTCCTTGCCCACCCCGTACAGCTCAGGGTGATGATGCTCGGGACGTTTGGGGTTGTTTTGCAGGGAATGGGTTTGGACTGGGCAAACTGGGAGCCTGAGCACTTCTTTGCAGTGCTGTGATTTTGTGCTTGGAAGGTGGATTTGAGGGGCCAGGCTCTGCTGCTGAAATATGGGGCACCTTCTCCTCCACCCCACCCCAATCCATGCCTCAGTTTTCCCACCGGAGCCATGCAGCAGTGGGTGGGTTTGCAAAGCTCCACGGATGTGTGAACCATGCCCAAGTGACTGTGGGGTCCCTCTGAGGGTCCACCAGCTCAGCTCTGCCCTTTGCAGTTCCATGAGGCTTTGGGGACGGGACACAGCTCTTCCCTGTGCAGTGGGGGCACATCCCAGCCCAGCAACAAGGAGCCCCTTTCTCCAACATGGGCTGGGGGGGGGGGGGTTGAGCAGCTCTGGCAGCCAAAGGACCCCTCCTCCCCCCCATTCCCACCTGCTTCCGGCCTTTTATGCTCTGCCAGCAGCT